GGATTGGGGGGGGAGAGGGTGGGGGAGAGAGAGGGGGGTGCATTGGGGGCTGCTCCAAAAGTGACAGAAGGGGCTGACTCCAGGGCTATTGATGGACTGTATGTGTGAAATGGCTCTCGTGAAGGTGTTAAATTGCACACCTCAAGAGGCACTTCACGGACAATGGTCCGACCGGGAAGCACAAGAACAAGGGGCACATGCACTGGGTCTGCAGCTATTGCAACACCCAATTCATCGGTTCGGCCACCAACCTCAAGGACCATTTCTTAAAGAATAAGAGTAACATTGAGCATGTGACCCGCTCGTTGGACGCAGAGAGGGTGAGGAGGATAGAGGGAATTCGAATGGGGACAATGCAGGCGGAATCGCTTATCAGAGGGAAGGGTTGTGCGGGTGCGGGTCCGAGCAGTGTCTCGTCCAGGGGCAGCTTGGTCGTCCCATCTTCGACGGCATGCAGGCCCCTGGTACCAGCTGCTGGGGAGTCGGCCACACCCTTGACATCTGCGAACGCTGCACCGTTGGTTCGACGGCCGACGAGGCAAACTCTGATCAAGGAGGCGGACAACATCGTCACCCACAATGACCAGACCAGCAGATAACTGGACCGTTTCCTAATTTGCACGAATCAAACTTTCATCTCAATTGAGAACATTTACTTCCTTCAGTTCATCGACGCGGTTATGAAGTGCCATCTTAAGAGGCAGCCGTGCAAGAGGGACGAGATGAGGACGAAGCGGTTGGACGGACAACATGGACTTGTTGGAGACGACATGAAGAGTCTTGTGAGGAAGTGGAAGAGGACGGGCTGCATGCTGCAAATGGACGGGTGGTCGAACAGGAGGAACAAACCACATCTCAATGTAATGGCTTCCTCCCCGATTGGCACTGTGTTTTGGAAGTCCGTTTGCATGGAAGGCAAGGACAAGGAGTCAGCGGCTTACTTCAAGTTGTTGGATGGAGTTATCGGCGTCCTGATGGAGAGGGTTTGTTCAAAGGCTGGGAAGATGGTGGAGGCGAAGTACCCTGGGATTTTCAATGCGGGATGCACGGCCCATGCGTTGGACTTGGCGTTAGAAGACATGTACAAGCGATTGGGCTGGCTGAGGGACGTCATTGACAAGGGAAACCAAGTGGGCAAGTTCGTGACCAACATCAACAAGGTCCTCGCAATGTTCAATTGAATTCCAGACGCCCAACTCAAACACCCAGCCGTCACGAGGTTTGCAACAAAATTCGAAATGTTGGAATCGCTGAAGAGAGGGAGGACTTCACTTGAGCTTTGTGACGCGATCGTGTCATGGGTCGACACGTTGGTGAGGGACAAGCAGGTGGCGACATTCAACGTTATCACGCACATCATTGAGGACAAGGAGGGCTTTTGAGATGAGGTTCATAGAGCATTGGCTGTCATGGAGCCCGTAGTGAAGTTGCTCCGTTTGGTGGACGGTCCCGGAACGACCATCGGCAAAGTGTATTTTGGCATGGACGAGATTGTGGTGCAAATGCAGACCCTCGACTGTCTGACTAGAAGAATAGGTAGTCGTGGAGAACATTCTCAAGGACCGATGGCCATTCACGACGTCCGAGGTGCATTGCGCTGCAGCCTTCCTCGATCCCAAGTATCGATCGCAAATCTTGCGGGACACGGAGATCGAGGGTTTCAATATCTGGCTCTATTCTTGGGCGCCGCCCGATTCGCTGAAGGAAATCAGCAAGCAAGTCGACGCTTGGGTCTGCGGACTTGGGACTTTCAGGACACAGAATGCAAGGGACCAGGCCGAAGCACAAACACCAGCACTCTGGCGGGAGGCGTTCGGGGGGTCATTGGACCTCCTCCAACCGCAGGCCATCAAGCTTCTCGGCCAGACTAGCTCTTCGCCCGTGTGTGAGCGAAACTCGAGCTTGCACGAGCTCATATATGGTGTCCACCGATGGATGGGTTATGTCGGCGCGTCGAAGCAACCCTTTAGTCTGCCCGTGTCTGTCACGCACGGGAGGGTTGTCCGCGGCTCCTGCAACCTGTAGAAAGCTAAACAAGGTTAGTCCCACAAAAACAGACTGCATGCACATGTAGTCAAAATCTGGGAATAAAAAGAACAAGCATGTGAGCGAAACTGGAGCTTGCATGAGCTCATATACGATGTAGACCAGTGGATGGGTTATGCCGGCACGTCGAATCAACCCTTTAGTCTGGCCGTGTTTGTCACTCACAGGAGGGTTGTTCGTGGGTCGTGCAACCTGTAGAAAGCCAAACAAGGCTAGTCCCACAAAAACAGACTGCATGCAGAATGCAATCAAATTCTAGGAAGAAAAAGAATAAGAAATTTATTTAGTCCAAAATAATCCTCTGGAATAGGTCCAATGTCAGAATCTGGGAAATCTTTTCGAGTCCTATACATCTCACAAGTATTCTATGCCTGATCCGTCTGCCCACGGGGCGTCATTTATAACGGGCCCATCGGTCCCAAGGACCGGTACTAGAACTCAGTATCTAATGTGGAGTCGTGGGCCCATTCGGAACAAAGCTCGAGTTCCATTTTTACCATCCCTTTTCCTCGGTTAATAAGGTCCTCGTATGGTCCCCCCTGTAGAGTAACTCTCAGTCCCGAGCCAATCAAATGGAACAAAGCCCTCGTCTGGCCTTCGTGTAGAATACGTCCCGGTCGTGATCCAATGAAATAAAACAAAGTTCTTGCCCCGTCCTCGCGTAGAATAAGTCCCGGTTCCAAACCAGTCAAATAAAATAAAGTCCTCGTTCGGTCCCCGCATAGAATAAGTCCCGGTTCCCGTCCAGTCAAATAGAATAAAGTCCTCGTTCGGTCCCCGCGCAGAATATGTTCAGGTTCTGGTCCAGTCAAATAAAATAAAGTCCTCGCCCGGTCCCCATGCAAAATAAGTCTCGGTCCCGTTCCAGTCAGATAGGATAAGGTCCTCCCCCAATCCTCGCGTCGGTTCCCATTCAGTCAAAAAAAATAAGGTCCTCCGCCCGGTCCCCGTGCAGATCAAGTCCCAGCCCCGGTCCAATAGGTCCACCTTCAGTTCCAGCATGGATTAACTTCCAATTCCGACCCGAAAGCTTATGAATAAAGCCCTCCTCTGGTTCGCACGTAGAATAGCCCCGGTTCCTGTCCACTCAGATTTGCGGTCCAGGTCTCGTCGATGGTCTCGATCCTTATCCCGTTAACAATCTTGATCATGGCCCTCATATTAACCTTGGTAACTCCATTCCAGGTCCCGATCACAACCCTTTTTTCCGAAAGCCTGTTCCGATTCCAATCCAGATCTCACTTGCCAGCCCACAGCAATGATGTTAATGAAGACAAAAATGATGACGATGATGATAATGGTAATGACGATGATGGCGGTAACCGCGGCTGCGCACACCCTCGATTGATAAGTGAAGCGCACGACTGTGCGCGGTCTCCCGGCTGGTGCGCACTGCTTTCCCAACGTGCACGCGCACACGTGGGCGAGCGCGCCGTTTTTACCATCCACGCGCGTAGTAGCGCACGACTGCTCGCAACTATGTGTGGGCTCTTTCTCGCTCCCATGCGGTAATACACGGCTGCGCACACCTGCTCACAGTCCTTTCCCGCTCTCACGAGAAAGTGTGCGGCTGCACTCACCCGCACGTGATGAGGCTTGACTCTGCGCACCTACACGCGGTTGCACGCACTTGCGCACAACCCTTACCAGCTCGCACGCGAAAGTGCGCGGTTGCGGGCACCTGCGCGCGCCTACTCCCGCTTGCGCTCAGCGGGGTGCGGTTCTGCGCACTTGCGTGGCCCTTACCCGCTCGTGCGCGGAAACGCACGATCCCCCGACTGGTGTGTGCGCGCACGGTGGGCGCGAGGTTTTCCCAACGTGCGCGGGCACATGCGGGGCGCGCGGCTGCTCGCACCTGTACGTGGCTTCGCGCAACTCTTCCCCACTTGCACGTGGTAGTGCGTGCACCTGCCTGTACCTTTGCCGCTCGAGCGCAGAAAGTGTGCGGCTGCGCACACCTGTGCTTAGCCTTCTTCCGCCTATGCGGGGTAAGACGCAGTTGTGCACACCTCCGCGTGGCTGGACACTCCTTCGTGCGGCCCTTTGTGTTCATGCACGGAAGTGCACGGCTGTGTGCGGCTGCGAGCGGTCCCGAGGCTGGTGCGCGTAGGGGCGCGACTGGATGCGTGGGTTTCCCCCTCCACGCACGTGCTAGTGCGTGGTTGTGCCCACATGCGTGCGACCCTTGTTGCTCGCGCAGTAGTGCGTGGCTGCGCTCACCTGCGAGCTGCTCCATCCCGCTCACACGCGGGAATGCACGATTGTGCACATTGCGCGTCGCTCTGTCCCGCTCGCGCAAGTGTTCGGCTGCGCACGCTGCACGCTGCTTTATCCTGCTCGCGCGCAGAACTGTGTGGCTGTGCTCGCAGCATGCGGCATTTGCTCAGCTCGCGCATGGGCGCTCAAGTACGTGCACTGCGCGTGGGCCCCCCTCGAGATGGCACGTGTGAGCACAAGTACGCTCGTGTGGGAGCGTGGGAGCGAGGCAGCGCGTTGTGCGTGCGTGTCCGTTCGGGCGTGCACGTGTACGCTTACTCGCCTACACAATGAAGTGCTTGACTCTCAGTCTCACCTCCCTTACTCTCGAGTGTGCGTGTGATCCGTTCATCGGTGCGCGCGTGATGTCCTCCCTTGATTGGTCGCATCCTTTCACAAAAGTACCTGTCCGCCGGTGTGTGCTTCTCCTCTCCTCCCAATCCTCTCTTCCTGTCTCCTCGATTCCCTCTTCTTCACTATCCTTACACTTCTCTTCCTGAGGACACCCATTTTCCAAGGTTATCCATAACTTTCAATTTCGTGGGCTAAGGCTTTCACATGTGCAAAGGTCACCCTTCTAGTGGGAAGTTCTCTTACGACCATCTCGCACTTTTCATGTGGTAGAGTGCCCAAGAATATTCCAGATCTCTCTATTTCGCCTATAAATCCCTCTTCTACCGAAGGAGTCCACGCTTTTTCATCTCTCTTTCTGAACGCTATCGGACTTTTATTTTCCTCTTTTTTCATTCCTCGTAATTCTACAAAGTAAGAGACATCCTCACAAGCCAAGGCTCAAGAATGTCGCTCATCGGTCGTCATTAGGTATGGCCGCCCTCACTTCGTGGTCTATTTTTAGGGCAATATGATAGATGAAATTGGTAATGATTTCCTGCTCCGTCGATTCTCTCCTTAAGCCATGAACTTCCCAGTCTTCTAGAAATTTTATCACGTTCTGGCTAGTGAAAATCATAGGAGTTCCCATAAATGAAGGAGGTCGATATAAAGTCGGTACATAAATTAGGTCCCATATGAACCAGGCGTATATGCCATTGAGTAAGGATTCCTTATATATGGCTCGTAAGGTGTTTCTCTCCAAGCATCCCTGACGATAGGTTCGGTGAACTTCGTACTTCTTTGTCTTGTCAAAGTCTCCTTTCTCCAACTCTCAACACAGCCTCCTTGACTTTCGAGTTCCTTTGCCTGGTTTTCAAGTTTTGTCAAGGCCTTTCTCAACTTTTCCGCATCGAGTTTTGTCAAGGCCTTTCTCAACTTTTCCGCATCGCTCACTGATTCTACACCCATTTTTCTCTCCGGGTTGTTGGTCCTAGATTCTTGTGTCTTAATGTCACCTCCTATTGAAGGTAGCTCGGTTCGTTTTGTATCCATTTTTCTTGCTAATCTCAAACCTCAATTTTCATATGCTGCTCAAACCAGCGATAATCTTTTCTCGGCTGAACCTTCTAAGGTCCCAAGTAATGCTTCAAAATCGGCCTCTTGACCCTTCTCTCTAACAACCAAGGCCGTGCACAAAATCTCCTTGGTAAAGCGCGAGTTAGCCTCCTGCATCCTTAAAGAGACTCCGTCCATTACAATCTTAGAAAACTCCCTAAACATTTCTGCATGTTCCCTTAGGTTAGTCTTTGCTTCTCTTAATGTTTCTCTCCACGAGCAGGTAATTGTTTCCTCTTCAAATGGAGTTGTAAGAATCTTTATCTTGACCAAGTGAATCTCAACGACTGCCACCCAAATCGCACATTTCCTAGCCTTGACTATTGCTCGTCTTACACACTCCGTTGATTTTTTTTTTGCCTGCTCGATTTTTATATGTTAGTATTATGACCCTGCATAGTTTGTTCGCAAAAGTTTCGACAACATTCCTTGTAGTGATGAGGCGAAAGACCCCGAATTTAAGCCTTTCATTAACCGCTAGTGCGTTGTTGGAC